TTATCTCTCACTTTAACCCTCATAACTGTTACAGTGCTTGACACACAGGTGTTTGACAAATATTTATTAAAGTAATAAAGGAATGAATGAATGAGCAAAACACCAGTGTAATATAGTCATATATCACTGACAGTGGATCGAGTAGCCCAGCCACTAGATCAAATTATTTGGTTTGGAGTAGTCATAGATCTTTTATTCTTCCTTGAATGACTTACAAAGTTGGTTTTTGACATGTGGGAACCATAATAGGTAAACGCTTTCAGCCTAAGCCATTGGGAGTTATGAGAGCTCTTAGACAATCATTATGAGGGGAAAATGTGGAGAAGATGACATGGAAGGTACGCTGATGAACATTCTCGACATAACTATACAATTAGAAGAGTTTCCTAAAGCAATGCTGCAACTTGATGGAGGATGGATGGATGGTGGACCATAAAAAATAGCAGATGTCACTGAAAAATGTCTGTACTCGTAGTTGTTATGACTGCTAAAAGAGTTTATGCGTTAACTTCTTAGCACAAAGCCTGAATATAGAAAGTGTTTAATAAGTGTTAAATGTGACTATTAGGCATGTTTCTAGATAGTTCAAATATCCTTTTCTTATTGAAATTACTGACTACTCTTTTTCTCTAAGGAGCTCTGAGTAATTATGAAAAATGGTTGTATTTTAGGAAAACACACGCACACAGCCTAGGGTTGCTACATGCGATTTAAAGACAAAAAAAAATCTGTAGTTCTGTTCTACTTATGATAATTGTATCTTCAACCTGTGTGTATCTGCAGTACTATACAAGCCATGGGAACCAGTAGTCAAAGAAGTGTGCCTTTTCTTCCAAGGCTGAGAGTCAGATCCTGCATTTATTTACTTATAGTTGAGGAAGGACACAATTAAGAATACTAAAAGGCACTCATAAAGTCTTGGGTGTTCTTAAGATAACTTTGAATCATATTGTCCTTACTTTTGGATATGATCCTAAGTGCATATCCCAAAAACCTTGGCTTGGCCTAGATGGTGTGGCTCAGAGGACTGAGTGCTGGCCTGCGAACCAAAAGGTCACCTGTTTGATTCCTGGTCAGGCCACTTGCCTAGGTTGCCTGTCCCAAGGTGGGGTCATGCAAGAGACAACCAACTATTTCTCTCACAGATTGATGTTTCTCGCCCTCTCTTCCCTTCTTTCTAAAAGCAAATAAATAAAATCTTTTTAAAAACCCTTGGCTTATATTTGTTGAGGTTTTCTTTATGTTTTGTTTTGTTTTTTTACATGGCAAGGACAAAGATTACAAAAATAAACGAATAAACAAATCCTTAAATATAGTGTTCTTAATCCTGAGTCCTCTGCAAATCAAAACTGGCTGCCTCTGACAGAGTGAGTTTTTCTGAGACTGTGCTGGGATGGGCACAGCAGTGCTGGGAGCCTGGTTCTCCAGATATACAAACATTGTTTCAGCGTTGAGCAAGGAGGCTTGGAGATGTTTATCATTGCTTTGGGGGTTTCATTGGCTGTGGCTGTAAATAGTGATGATGAGGATTGAGGGAAAGAAAAGAAGGGGATGAATTCACATGTGACCCACCCAGAATGTCTGGACTCAGAGCCACTGGAAACAAATTGAATTTCAATTATTTTCCAAGCTCTCTTAGAATGTTCATGAGTGAATTTGTCTTTATCGCCCCTCATGGCAGATGCATTGCTGTTATTGATTGATTAATTGATTGTGTTAGTTTTAACTAATATTCATTGAGCATGTACCATATGCCAGGAACAGAGCTTCACTGTTAACATTACATGTAAATCAATACCCAACCAGTGAAGAGACTCTCTGTGCATCTCAATTTACATCTGTGCATTCTCTGTGCATCTCTGTGCATCTCAAAAAAATGGGACTTGGAAAGGAGAGGTAACTTGCTCCCCCAGATTACCAGCTGAAAGTGTAGTAAAAAGAGTCAAGCTTGCTCTTACCACACTCTGCTAGTCTGCCTCTCATTTAACCTTCAAGTCTAGCCACCATTTATCAGAGCTGCTGGTAAATGTGCTTCTGTTTCTTGGGAGGAACTTTGCATTTATCCATGCAAGAAAGATTGTACAGAAAACAAATCTCTAGGATCTCAGCCTGGAGACAGTGAACTGGAAAGAAAGGGGGTGAGAACATGGAAGAACATGTGTAGGGGGTCTGCAGTGGGGGGTAGGAGCACTTTGGGGACAGAAATTGAGGTGGTACTGAGGAAGGAGAATGTAGCTATGCACAAACTACAGAAAGAAAACTTGTGTAGTTTTAGGAAGTGGAGGAAGAAGAAAATAGTAAATATCCTTTCAACCTCAGAGTCTAGCACTTTTCTTGGAAAAAAAATACATCAGTTCTTTGGCCAAGAAAAATTGAAATAACTTTCTTAGAGTTAAGTGAAATATTCTACTAATATTATGTTATGTGTTTTGGAGTTTCTGTTGCCATTATGCATTGCTCTTATACATTTGCTCAATGGCCTTTTTATTGCCTGGCCTTCTGTTCTTCAGATGAGCTCACTAGGTTTTCATTCAGTCTCCAGGTTTCACGCATTTCGAGGGACCAAAGCTAGTTAAGCAGCATCTGGGCCATTTTTGCCAGGTCCTTATAATTGAGTCACCAACAATTTTCTAATTGATTATACTTCACAAGTGTATTCTCAACCACTTTTTAATTACTACCCATTAAGGAGTATTTTTAGACATTTTTTCCTAATTGCCCTTATCCCATAAAATTTTAATACCATGGATATACTCTGTATTCATTTAAGTACTGTGGGCTGTTGGTAGGTCATGAATGCTTATAATATCTAAGATCTGGTCCCTCCACCCAAACAATCCTTACTGTTTTACAGTGACTGAATAGTGACTGCGGCCCTTTCAGAAATGGTGTTTGCCTCTTACAGTTGCCTTCTGCATGAATACAGTCAACATTTATCCCTTGCCACATCCCTTGCCCCCACTAACCAGGGATGCATGGGCGTGGGGCCCCGTCATGGCAGCAGCCCCCAGGGCAGCAAGCTCACCATCTTGCTCACAGTGAAAACGGGGCTCTAGCCTCAGCTTCCAGCCTCAGTTGCTGGAAACGAAGTGTGCACTTCATCAGTGTCTAATTGAAAGAAATGTATGTTTGAAAATTCTTTTCCCATTCACTTTCAGGAAGAACAGGTGTTGAAGGATCTGCCCGTCAGATGTGGAATAAAGATCAATAATGTGGTTTAAGGCACCTCTCTGCCACTGTCAGTTCTAAGTGAAATCAATTGCCTAATATGGCGTCTCTACTGTTCACTGCTGTGTCCAGTCATTCTGTGCCTATTATGTCTGTTTCAGAAGGATGTTGTCTGGAAATCCTAAGCAGATGGGTTATCATGTGTATTAGCTTGCTTGGGCTGCCATAACAAAGTGCCGCAGACCGGGTGGCTTATACAACAGAAATTTATTTTCTCATAGTTCTGGAATCCAGAAATGCAAGGTCAAGGTGTCAGCTGGGTTATTTTCTTTTGAGGCCTCTGTCCTTGGCTTGTAAATGGCTGTCTTCTCCCTGTGCTGTTAAAACATCGTCATCCCTTTTGGTGTGTCTGTGTCCTAATCTCACTTTTAGATAAGGGCACCAGTCCTATTTGGATTAAATTTACCCAAATGAATTCATTTTAACTTTATTACCCCTTTAAAGACCATATCTCAGTCCCTCTCTGAGGCATGGGAATTACAATGTCCACAAAGGAAATTAAGGAGACACGATTCAGTCCACAATATCATGTAAGGAAAGGTATAGACAAGCCTATGTGGGCCACAAATGCAGACTTAGACAAAGGTGTATCTGTTCAAACCCTCACTATGTTTCTCACTGGCTGTGTGTCCTTCAGACACTTACTTAACTTCTCTGAACTTTAGTTCTCTTTAAAAGTATAGTAATTATCCTTGTCCCAGAGGATTGTTATGAGATTATGTTGAATTAATTAACAATAACTATAACTAAGAAGTGTGTATACCTGTTCAGCACAGCATCTTGCTTATAATTTCTTTTCTTCTTTATATAGATTCAGACTTCAATACATTATGAATAATAAGACTAGCAAGCCAGCATATACTCTATATATTGAATATCCTGCTGTACATAGCAGGACATAAGTTTGTTTTTTACATAAGACCTATAGATTAGTTAATTAATTTAACAGTATTTCTTATGCACACACTGTGTACCAGGTACACAAAGCAGTCTTCTCAGCTGCTGTTCAAGGGCTTTTCTCACTGCCCATACCCACAGCCCCTATATTTCTGGCATCAGATTCTCTGGTACTGGGGAGTTTCTGTAGGATTCAAGAGGAAGAAAAAATGTCTCAAGTTGAATCACTACTGTTGCAACAAATGTTTTTCTGCTCCCCAGAAATAGTCTTACCTGTGTTCAGAGACTGTTGTGTGGTCTCTCTCTGCTGGCCCACATGACTAATTCAACTAATTGCAGCAATTACATAAAGAAATCACTGCTAGCAAGAGAAGCCATTATGCATTTCCTGAGCAGACTGCATTCCACAACGTTCATTAATTATGCCAGCCTATAGATTCACAACCACCAAATCATACACTTGAGACTGCACACCACATGCATTTGAAAGCCTCTCAAAGCTGCAGTGCATTTTCTGGGCCAGCCTGCAATCTTGTATTTCCTACTATTTGTAATAGCCCTTTTCCTGCCCTTCCAAGTCCCAAAGTTGAAATTAAAGTCAGAGGAGGTTCAGGCTGCACAGGGTCAGGCATGGCAGAAGTATGAGTCTCTGAGAAGTACTTCGGGTCTCTCAGCTTCACATAAGGCCCACACGGATTGTCTGGACCCAGAGCCACTCACAGCTACACAGGAGTTAAAAATTCTGCATTCTACAGCCTACATTCTTTAGAGAAGAGAAACCATAATAATGATGGAGGTAGGACACAGTGATGAGTCATTTATCCTTTTGTTCATTGGTTTCCTTATCACTCTCTCTGCTCTCTCTTCCTTCACAGCCAACATCAGATGACCTTGTATCATCTGCTGAATGTTCAAGCGATGATGAAGACTTTGTTGAATGTGAACCGAGTACAGGTAGGTTAGGTCAGTCTTGTTTTGCTTGCTTTATTTTTTCATTTGCAAAAAACAATACATACATATATGTGAATATACATGTGTTTTATATATACAATAGTGTGTTAATGTGTGTATTTCCTATACCTATATATGTATAAGCATACATATATAAATATTAAAATATATTCTAAAGCATCAAATCCCATGGAAGGAGTAACAGGATCCTAGGGAAACTGGAAGTCATTTCCTTAAAAGTTAAAGCAAAATCCATGGTATGTGAGCTAACTTGGAGCAATCAAACACTCAGATCGACCACCGGAACAGTAAATTCTTCGTAGCCAGCGGTGGCTATGACGCTCTCAGGGTGGGGTAGGAGCCTGAAGAGGCCTGTTTTGGAATGGCACCAAAACATGCACCCAAAGTGGAGTCGCAAGGATTATTTCAACATCATGAATTGCTCCAAGTCCAAATGGCAAACAGAACAAAACCAAAACCCAAGCAACAACAAAAGTATTTTCCATGGGATTTCAACAGCAGTTAACATGGTATTATATTTATACTAATTTTGTTAATTGGGTGCTTAGATAATTTTTGCAGCAACAGAGCAAACACAAAATTAGTACTGAACCATGTCAACTGCTGAGATGCTTCACAATGTATGCACTGTGCTGACGTTCACAGGACTTTGGCAGTTAGCAGCTTCGGTGTGTCCCCATTTGCACCCAGATACGCTTTGATGACTTATGGTCTTTCTTTACAGTGAGCTATGTGTGATGTCATGTCCAGCAGGCCACTGCAGTCCCTGGCTGTTGCCTAGCAACTTTCCCAAGTTGTCTGTTTTGAGACTTGCTATACGTTGAATATTTATATATACATATATAATAGAGAACAGATATCATTGAATTTCTGTGTATGTTTAAGAGAATTAAAGCTGGAGTTGGGTTAGTATCTTTTTTCTGCAAAAGTTAGGAAACACACATAGAATTTTCTAGTTGATTCTTTGGATTACTTTATTTTTTCCTTTCCTTTAAAGAAGAAAAGGCGAGCCATTCTACAATTTATTTTGATAATTTTAGAAAACGTTAAGCTTTGTGAAGAAATACTATAGCAAAAGTAAAAATTTTCTAGGTGGTACCCCAAAGTGATTTACAATTTTTCAACTTTTGTGGAAACGTGACTGCTGATGTCTTGCAATTGGCTTTGGATCCAGGAAGTTCTGTGGGTTCCCGTCCTAGCATTCCTTGGGGACACAGTACTATGAGGGCTGTTTCACTTCTGAGTGCTACCTCTTCCTTTGGAAATCCAGTTGTGTGGAAGGGAAGTACCCATGACCTAGTTAGTCAGATTTTTTTTTCAAATTTTTACGTCATTAGCTTAAATTACTAAGTGTGGTTTTAACTGGAGAGAGTATTATTGTAAATAAAGTTAGGGAAAAAAAATACACCACAAAGTTTCACTTACAGGTGGAATATAAAACCAAACCAACCAAACAAACAAACAAAAACAAAAACAAAAACAGACTTATAGAAACAGAGACCAAGGGGATGGTTGCCAGAGGGGAGGGAGGAGGGGGAAGAGCTAAAAAAGGTGAAGGGGAATATAATGTATTTTGCCATGTATAATGACCACATTTCAGCCCAAAATTTTGAGGGAAAAATAAGGGTGTTCATTATACATGTGTATAATGATTGCATACCATAGGCAGAATAATGGTTATAAGAATGCCATGTATAATATGCACAAAAGTGTGGGTACACATTCTATATGGCAAAATATGATCATCAATAGTATTGCAGTAAATCTGCAGGGTGAGATATGGTTACTTGAATTAGTAGGGTGATCACATTGTAAGGTATAAAAATGTCAAAACACTATATTGTGTACCTGAAACTAATAAAATTAATGTAATAATGTATATCAACTATACTAAAATAAAATAATAAAATAAAAGAAGGCAGATACATCCAGTCTATAGCGGAACTTCAACACCAAGTTTTTAATTCATTAACTCATCCAGTAATCTACTCAATAAATATTTCTTAGCACTTAGGCATTATATTATATTTATACCAATATCATAACAGATGGCATACAGTGTATCTCTAGGTTGGAGTCCTTTCTGTTCTAGTAATTGTCATAACTGAACTGTCAGAAAAACTAGAATAAGAAGTTTTGCTATCTAAATTACTACCCAACAAATACCTTTTGTGTGTGTTAGGCATGTGCTAGGTACTAAGGCTTTAGCTGTGAACATGACAAGATCCCCGGACTTTAATTTGGATTCCCTGTTCATTCTTTCTCTAGTTTTATTGCAATGATATCTGTATCCATACACATACACAAAAAATGTTTCATCAAATCTTTAGATTTTAGTCTTTTTATAATAATTAAGAATTGACTATTTAAAAATATTACCACCATCTTTCCCCACTACCTCCTCCTCCCATATAATCATCTCTATAGCAACCTCTTTAATAATGCAGAGGATTTTTCCACACTCATAAGTTTTAGATCTTCCAGGTTATAGAATCTAAATCCCCCAATGGGAGATCTAAATGGCAATATATGTATATATTGCATTTGGTATTGAACATGAACAGATCCAAACTTGAATGGCATTTGCTTTTTAGTGGTTGCATAAGTGTTTCAGCTGATTCAAAGGCAGAGGACAGAAATTCAATGCCAGTTATCTTCTTTAGTAATATAATTACATGGGGTGGGTGGGGGATTAAAGCAGTTTCTAAACAATCTGCTCTGTTCAGCAAGGAAGTATGGGAGAGGTATATACATAAACCAGTGCCTACCCTGAAGCAGTTAACATACAGCTCTAAGACATTGATTTTGGTATCCCTTGCCTGGGATTATTCAACTCATTACATTTGAAGGATGAGCATTTCTTCTTTCTAATATTTATTTCATAAAGTATTCCTGGTAAGAAATTCAGCTACACAGGGAAATAAGTCAGGACATATTTAATAGAGGAAGGAGATGGATATTCCTGTTGATGCAGAATTTTTGCCCTTGGGGCCAGATTAACACCCAATGAAGGTTATATGGCACAGACCTATCAAGCCCCCCACCCTTTTTTTTTCATTAAGTGGGAAATAACTCTACAGCATTCACTTTTCCAAAACACCCATATTAACAATCAGAAACAATTGAACAGGTATTTCTGGGGTTAGGTTCTGTACTGCCTAGAGAGAAGCTCTTCATTGCCTATGTAGCAATAGGTAAGGGTGACAGTTACATCACTTTGACATAAATTTTTGATTTTGAGATTCCATGTGAATATTGAGATTAAAATTCTGATTTTGAACACCCTAATTTACTACCTCAGTTTCTAAAATGTTCATCTTTTCCAGAACTGATGTTCAATGTCAATAAACTAAATTTGACTAATTACCTAAACCTTTTTCTGCTTTACTTTACATTTTCTCTTGTCTTCTCTCACTAGATGAACAAGTTTTTGATTTTCTGGCTGTCTCAGTTATGAGTCATTTAATTTCTAGAAGTTCTTTTCTGAGTAACTGAAGTCCACTAGAAGCTCTTGCTTTTCATAAATTTAGGCAGTTTGGTAGATGCTAATTCAACAACTTTTCATGTGGGCATCACATTTTTTAAAAACTTAGTTTTTTTAATTTAATTTTCTTTCAATCAAAATTAACTTTAAAGCTGGTGAGTTTGAGTCAGAGGTAAGCCATTGCATTTTACACCAAAATCCCACCTTGGCACTCAAGACATGGTTTGTGTAACTTAGTCATATCATGTTCGGAGACAACATAACATTTTTAGGAGTTTGGCTGATGACAGTCGAGAAACCTTGTAAGTCCAGGGAATCTCAAATTTTCTTTGTGTATTTGCTCTAAAAAATATGTAAATGAGATCTTAAAAACAACAAGCACCACCTAAGCCATGACAAAAAGACACAAAGTGAAAGCTCAATTAGTATTTATTGACTGAATTTGTATAACTCACAAAGGGCCTCATAATCGTAAATGAAAATGGGAGATTTTTCATACCTCTGACTTCATCTACTTTTAAAAAGCTAAATAAAACCCATTAAAATATTTAAAATCTATAATTTTAGATAAGTGAATATCACCCTAATAAATTCACATTTCTCCAACAAAAAGAATTCTCTGCTTTCCCTACCCCTTCTCTTTCTGGGAACTAGAGCATTTTATGAGTAACAGGTAAGACAACAATTTCTGAACATTTGCTTTAAGAACCCAGAATCGAACCTTTAAAGTATAAAATCATAATGAAGCCCTCTGCCTCAAATGAAAATTTAGAATATTTGAATTAGGACTTAACTATCTGAAATGGAGGGTCAGGATTTTAACTTTCGTAATTCATAAGAGCTGATTATGTTTCCCACAAAGGAAGTCAGTGTCTACTTAATGTTTCAGATTTGTGACTTTGCATATAAACCTTGTCTTTTTCAACTATGCTCTATTGATATTGAATCATGCAATAAGGTCCTACTTTACTGTGCTTCCTATGTCTTTGGATTTAGCAATAACAAAACTATAGATGAGCTCGAGAGGATTCAAATAATACTAGAAAATAAGACTTTTTTCATGAGAGTATAGAAGCCCAATAACAATTAAAATCTTTACTAAGTGCACCTTTGTGATCTAAAAACACTCCGAAATATAGAGAAATTGATATTTCTCTATATTTCCACTTTCCACTTCTACTCTCTCCTTCCTCACTTTTCCTATCCCCAGTGTCTCCATTTTAGGAAATAACATCAAAACAAATGTAATTTTAGATTAACTTTTTTATAATTAGAAGTTATCAACTCTCTGAATTTTATATAGTTATAGTCTCAAGTTCCAAAAGTCCTAAAGCAGGGGTCACACAGCAGAGTAAAAAATACATAAAAAGAAACACCTTCTACACCTGGGAAATGGGAATGGCAATAATTAACAACTATATTGACTTATCTAGCCATTATCCAGGGATGTATTTTTCCAGTGGTCAATTAGCTAGGATTTCTGCTTTCACTTCTGTTA